GAGCTGTCTTAGGGGACCTCTTGGGTTGTCGTGGAGCGTCGGAAAGCAGGCAAGGCGAGAACGCCGAAATCCTTCACAAACCCAAGGAAATCAATGATGTTGGGGCCCTCTTGGGAGGCCTCTCGGAGGCCTCTTGGGGCGTATCGGAGGCATCTTGGACCTTCTTCGGGCCATCTTAGGCGCCTTGGAACAATGTTTCGGCGACTCAGGGCTCTCTCGGGCCGTCTTTGGGCCCTTTTGGGACCCTCTTGGCCTGTCTGCGGGCCCTCTTGGGCCCAGAACAATCACGCGACCAGACGCGCCAGATTCGCGACAAGCCGCGGGAAGCCCCGACAGATTTGAGAGCGAGGAGTCCAGTTCCGTTAAAGAACTTTCAAGAGTGAGGAGTGAGGTTGAGAGGAGTGGGCACAGAATTTGAGGACAAGCCCACTCCGTGCCCGAGGGTACGATGTCGGATGTCGATGGCGTCTTGGAGCCATCGTGGGGCTTTGTTGGGCCATCCCGGACGATTTGGACTGTATCCTGTGGCTTTCGGGAGCTTCGTTGCCGTCGTCTTGGGCAATATCGTGGGCTATGAGGGCCGTCCAGAGCCGATCTTTAGACATAGTGGGGGGGACATTCGACGGGCAACAAAAAGGTTTGTCAGCGTGAACCCCAACCATTGGGTCATTGTACTCTCCACCCGCAGTGTCTTGGCAAAGCCCATGCGGTCACGATCACCGATGCCGATTGGACCTGGACCTGGCTAGCACATCTAAACGAGCGCACGGGCACGCGGGGCTGAACAGCGCAACCCGAAACCGCCCTGCAGGACACGCGATGGTCGTGGCGATGATGACGCTGGCGAGGGCGACGACGATAACGATGACGATGCTGATGATGGCGATGACGATGGCGATGATTATGACACCGCGTAGTCCGAACCAATCCTGCAAGGCACCGGATGGTCGTTGTGATATCGATTGGGTTCGCGCGGCATCGATCATTGGGACATCTTCGTTTTGTCGGGCTTCGGTTGCCCCGTCAACCCAAATCCTCCCCCGCCGTCCTCCCCCGGCATCCTCCGCTCTGTGTTGCGCCATCCTTCACCCTGCGTTCCCATCTTCATTCCTCTCTCCTCTTCCTCCGCCTGCATCTCTCCATCCTCCTCATCCGCATTTCCCCAGTCTTCCCTCTCCCCCCCCGCTCCCTCCTTCTTGCCCTCCTCCTCCCAGCTATATATATATATATATATATATATCGAAGACGCCTACGGCGAATCACCGCCGCCCCCTGCCTTTTTGGAAGCGCCTATGTGGCCGAACGTTGAGGCCAGACCTGCCAAGCTATCGGACCATGTGTTCCCCGAATCGGTTTGGAAAGCCTTCGGGGAACACGTGGGCATCTTGAAGGTCATCTTGGCCGTCTGGAGGCCATTTTGACCCTTTCGGGCCTTCTTGGAGGACGTCTTGGAGGGCTCTTGGACCGTCTTGGAGGCCATCTTGAGCGTCTTGGAGACCTCTTTGGCCGTCTTGGGGGCCTCTTGGGGCCGTGTCTTGGGCCTCTTGGGCGATCTTTGGGGGCGCTCGGGCCGTCGGAAGGCCGAAAACCAAGCGAATGCCACAATCCTTCAAAAACTCTTGGGAAATCAATGATTTTGGCCTTTTCGGGCCTTCCTGGCGGCCCTCTTGGAGGCCTCTTGGGCCGTCTTGGGCCATCTTAGGGCCATGTTTGGCCGTCTTGGTGGGCTCCTGGTCAGTCTGACGCCGTGGGAAGCAGTTTGGGGGGCCTCTATGGGCCGACTTGGGGCCCTCTTGGACTGCTCCAGGGCCGTCTTGGAGGCCATCTTGGGCGTCAGAAAGGCCTCCTGTGCCGTCTGGGGGGCCTTTTGGGGCCGTCTTGGGGCCCTTGTGGGCCGTTTTGGGGCCATGTTGGAGGCCTCTTGGGCGATCTTTCGGCGATCTTTGGGGGCTCTTGGGCCGTCTCGGGCCGTCGGAAGGCTGAAAAGAAGGAAATGTCAAAATTCTTCGAACACCTGCGGAAAATCAAGGTTTTTGGCCTTTTCTGGCCTTCCTGGAGGCCCTCTTGGGGGCCTCTTGGGCCGCCTTGGGCCAGCTTCGAGCCAACTTCAGCCATCTTGGTGGGTTCCTGGCACGTCTGATGCCGTCGGGAGCCGTTTGGGAGGCCTTTCCGGGCCGACTGGGGGCCCTCTTGGGGCGCTTCGGGGCCGTCTTGGAGGCCATCTTGGGCGTCTTGGAGGCCATTTTGGGCGTGTTGGAGGCCTCTTGGGCCATCTTGGGGCCCTCTTGGGGCCGTCTTGGAGGCCACTTGGGCCGTCATGGGGCCCTCTTGAGCCGTCGGAATGCCGAGAAGAAGCAAATTCAAAAAGTCTTCAAAAACCTATGAAAAGTCAATGATTTCGGTCTCTTCGGGCCCTCCTGGAGGACCTCTTGGAGGCCTCTTGGGCCGTCTGGGAGGCCTCTGGGGGGCCTCTTGGGCCGTCTTGGACTCTCTTGGGCCGTCTTGGAGGCCGTCTTGGACCATATTGGGCGGACTTGGAGGCCATCTTGGGCCATCTTCGCGATTTTTTTAGGATGTCCCGAGCGAAACGGCCGTTTCAGGCATTGACTGATGCAGTTTCCGGGTGGCCGGCGGGACGTGCCGGAGCCCCAGGGGGTTCTTTTGGAAAAAGAACCAAAACCAAAACCGTAATAGTCTGGCACGCCAAGCACCCCTGTGATGAATCAACAGGGGGTGGCGGATTATAGTGGCGTTCGACCCATCCCGCCACCACGCATTGGTTGTAGGTCAGAGGCATCATGGATGATTGTGGGAATCTCGTGGCCTCGTGGGAGGCTTCTTGAAGCCGTGGAAGCGGTTTTGGTGTCTTTAGGGGTGGCCACGTGGGGCCTGCCTTGGGTATCCTGGGGTGTCGCTGGCGGTTTCGAAGGTAATTTTCCCGGAAAGGGCGCGGGCCCAGGGTTCTCTTTTAGGGGCTTCCCCCCAGATTCGATTTGCGTAGGGCCGGCGAAATTATTCTGCGATAAATAACGAAGACGCATAGGGCCAGCGAGTTGAAAAGTTGAGGATGTCCCGAGCGAAACGCTGTTTTTTTTGAAATCCCGATCGATAAAACAAATGCTAAAGTGAACATGTGCGTTTGTTGCGGATGTCTCGAACGAAACGCTTATCTTGCATAATTTGTTGAGAATGTCTCGAGCGAAACGCGTGTTTTGTGTTATAGTGTGTTCCACTCCTGGAGGCCAGAAGTCAAAGGATGCCTCACGTGAAATTGTAATATTTAAGATGTCTGTTCTTGGCCCTCGTTCTCAGCGTACCGTTTTTGTTCACACCACAGATGCGACCGTATCTGTTCTGGCTCAAGCTTCTGAGGGCATGCTCCCGGTGGGTCTCCTGGGGCTTGCTCGCGATTTCCTCCCAGCGGCCCTCCACTTCCGCACGTCGTGGCTGGCCTCGAGCTGCCCTGCGTGCCTATCTATCTCCTGCCCATCAGTGACATTGCTGAGCTGCCCAGGCCTGCACTGCGGCGACTGCAATTGCCCCGAAGGGCAGGCCACCTCGCTGCTCTGGGCGAGCGCCGCGGTGGCCCTGTGCTCGGCGGGGGCTGGGCTTGCCGTGGGCCGCGCGGGCGCCAGCCTGCTGGGGTGTGCGCGCCAGGCCGCGGGGGCGGCTTGGGGGTGCCCGAGCGGCACCAGCGGCGGCGGCGGAGAGCCGGCCTCCTCGGCGCGCGGGGCAGGAGGCCGCACCGCCAGGGCCGGTGCGCTCCCTGCGCCTGGCGCGCCCGCGGGGCCATCCGTGACGGCCGTGGCGAACACACCCAGTTCACTAGCCCAGCGACGAGATGGCTGCCAGAACTCTCGACATCCGAGAGGCCCAGGTGCTGGTGCATTACCCCGACGAGGATCTGGAGTGGCACCACCGTGTGTTGCTGCATCGGGTCGAGGGCGCCCTGTGGCTGGGCCTCACTCCCGACCACGAGATTGTGAGGGTTGACCTTGGCGTCCTGCGACATCATGTGTTGGATCGGTCCTCGGCTTTCCCCGCCCAGTTCGCGCCGATGGTGTACGCCTTCGACCCATTCGACGGGCAGACGCTGCGAGACGCCAAGCGACAGGCCCAGCGACGGGCTGCGCTTCTGGGCGGGGGAGAGGTCGAGGACGCCGAGGAGTACGTGTGGTTGTTGGCGAGTGTCGCGGATGCTCGCTTTCGTGAATCTGTGCCTGCCGACGTCATCGAGGATGGCGATAGGTGTGTCACGCTTGGCCACCGTGGAGTGTGCATGATCGACGGGGAGCCGCGTTTCGTGGAGCGGGTCTCTCGAGGTGAGCGAGACAGTTCGGTGCAGTCATGCCGAGAGGACGTCGAGGATATCCGCGTGCTGGGGGATCACCGCTCACGAGGTGGCCGTCGGGATCTAGACTTCAGGGATGCCGTCGAGTCCATGAGAGAGGTGACCGTCGAGGACTGGCCCGATCAGGGGCCACGAGCGTGCCTTGAGTACCTGAAGAGCATCGCGTTGCGGGCTGGCAACCTGCTCACCTACCAGGCTGAGTGGCAGCGGCTCAGCGGAGTGGCAGAGGGCGGAGCTCAGGGACACGAGCATCGTTGCCACCTCGAGACGCTGCGGAGGGCGATCTGCCACGACCAGCTGAATGTGGTCAACTTGACGCGATTCGAGCACGTCGCGCGGCGGGTCATCCAGGTCGAGATGGCCGTGGAGAAGAACCCGCGGCACCCCGACTTCAGCGGGCTGGAGGACGTGCCGGCTGGACCGCGGTCGGTGAGCGGCTCAGCCCATGCGCCGCGGCACCTCGAGCACGTGACCAACCGCCAGAAGGACCGCGCCCAGATCCTCAAGCAGCAGAGGCTCTACCAGGAGGAGGCGGCGAAGCGGCGGAGCGTGAAGGGCGATGGCAAGGGCGAGTCGGGCGACGGCTCGAGGGCCAAGCAGAAGGCGAAGGTGAAGAGAGGGTTCCCCTCGGCGGGCGCCGAGGGGGAAGGGGGGTGACCCCCCACCGAGGCGGTGCCCGCGCAGTGGGCTTGGCCGAGCCCGCGTCTGGCACGCACCGCCGTCCAGGAGTCAGCGAGCCGCCAAAGAAGCATTGGTGGCCAGACGGCCACTGGCTCCACAATGATCCGTTCCCGCCCCCCATACAGTACGAGGAGGAGCGGCCGGCGGGAGCAGCCAGGTCCACGGTGCGTAGATGGCACCACAGGGCCAAGAAGCAAGAGCGGGCTAGAGAGACGGTTGAGGCCCTCAACCACCTCGCTGCTTCCAAGACGAATTCGATTAATGACAAGGTTCATCGCGCGCGTCCACGGGGGGGACCGCCGACTGCGGTCCAAAGGAGTGCGCTGGCCCACGCGGTTGCGGGGGTCAACGGCTATGGCGAGCCTCCTCGTGAAGCGACGGACGGTGAGCGGCCCCTCCGGGCGATCCTCAAGTCCGCCGACCAGTATGAGCTGGAGCCGCGGCACCTGGCCAGCTACGACCCCGACAAGCTGCACATCGCGTCCGGCGCGTTGCGGCCTGTCCCCGTGTCGGCCTTGCCCCCAGAGGCTGCGGCTGGGTACGTGAGACACTTCGAGAGCCAGGTGGAGCTGACCGCGCCGGAGCTGGAGGCCCGGCCACAGATCGCGGGAGGGCCCCCGACACCTTAATGGGACCCCGCCCTCCGCGGAGATCGGTCAGCTCGCCACGATTTTGTCCGCCGGCTGGCGGCGGCAGGTGTCGCGGGATTCCGCGGGGCAATCAAGAGCCGCTGTGGAGCTTTTTTCGTGCACAAGAAAGATGGTCGCATTCGGTTTATTTGTGATGCTCGACAGGCGAAGCTTTGCCACCGACGGCCTCCACGGACCGTGCTGGGCGGGCCCGCCTCCCTGAGCGAGCTGGACCTCAGCCCCCTCGCCGAGGCCCTCGGCGGCTACGGCGGGGCGCCGGGGCTGCCCCTTGACCTCCACGCGTCGAGCGCGGATGCGAAGGGCTGCTTCTACCAGCTTGAGGCGGAGGGCGTCGCGAGCCGGTTCGGGCGCGACTGCCCGCTGACCGTGGAGGAGTGGGGCCTCGACATCACCCACGTCTACGACGACGACCTCAAGGGGCCCACCCCAGTGCGGGCGGGCGAGTTGCTCTATCCCGCGATGCGGGCGCTGCCCATGGGGCGGTCGTGGGCCCCCCACTTTGCGCAGGAGGCTGTCACCACTCTGGCCAAGCGTGGATGTCCAGGGGGCAGCGAGCAGCTGCTCCAGGACACGCGCCCCGCCCCCCTCCTTCGGCCTGGACGTCCAGTCAGCGCCGTGCACGTGGGCAACTTCACGGGCCTGGGCGGCCGCCAGGAGGGCGCCGCCTTCGGGGTGAGGGGCTTCGAGAGGGCTGCCGCGGACGCGGGGCTGAAGCTCCACGCGCCCGAGGTCGCGCTCGCCGAGCTCGAGTCGCTGAGGCTCGTGATCCACGGGTCCGACAAGACGCTCAGGCGCACGCCGCGTCGAGTGTGGCGGCTCCACTCCGGGGCCAAGGAGCCCCTCCGGCGCGGGCGCTGCTCGCCTGCCGAGCTGCGGGCTTGGGCGGGGCACGCGGTCCACCTCTTCTCGCTACAGCCGCTGCTGCTGTCGATCCTGCAGGGCACGCACACCTTCATCGGGAACGGGCTCAGTGCACGGCGACTTCTGCCCCGCGGAGTTCGGCTTGAGCTGCACCTGGCCGCCGCGCTGGTCTTCTTGGGGGGCGTCAACCTCGCGGCCCCTTACGACGATGAGGTGCACGTCTCCGACTCGTCGACGGGCTGCTACTGCCTGATGCACGGGCGGAAGCCCGCTCGGGCGGTCCGAGACGCCTGGCGTTGGCGGGAGCGGTGGCGTTTCGTGGAGGTGGAGGCTGAGTGCGACGACGCCCACTACACCGGCGCCCACCTAGCGCAGCTACGGGGCCTCCCAGCGGATGACGAGCTGGGGATCCCCAAGTTCGCTGACGTGCAGCCGCGTGCCAGACGGTCGGCGGGCGCTTGGTCCTCGACCGAGCTGGGCCAGCTAGCTTTTCGCAAGGTTGGCCAGACTCGGCGTCGGCAAGGCTGCAGCGCTGTGGGCGGTCGGCACCGCCAGGAGGTGGAGCTCCTGAATGCGGCCCCGAAGCTGCCCGCGGCGCTGACGCGCGACGAGGGCTGGCGACGAGCAGCGGCCGGACGGCGGCAGCGCCCCGAGGAGCACATCAATATCAAGGAGGCGAGGGCGTGCGTCATGGGGTTGCGCAGGAGCTGTCGGTGCCCTCGGCACCACGGCCATCGGGCCCTCTCGCTGCGCGACAACACGGCGACGTGCTGCTGCCTCGACAAGGGGCGGTCGACCTCCAGGGCGCTGAACACACAGTGCCGACGGGCCGCCGGCTACGCGCTGGGCTGTGGGATACGATGGCGTGTCCGCCACGTCCCAACCGACCTCTGCGCGGCTGACTTCGGCTCGAGGCTGCACGAACCACCTGGGCCTCAGTGGCTGTGCGCGGCGAAGGCCCGCCGACAGGTGGTGGCGCCCTGGGAGCCTGCCCGTCCTCTCCAGCTCCCTCGACCCCCTCGAGTACGACCTCAGAGCCCGCAGAGCACAAGCACGAGACCTCCCACATCCCCTCCCCCGCGTCTTCGAGACGATCTAGTCCAGCTGGCCTCCGCGCGCTGCGGGCCGAGACAGCTCTCGAGCGCAGCGTTGGGGACCGCTCAGCGTCGGCCGAGGCCGGACATGCTCGCGAGCCAGAGTCGGCAAAAGTCTTCCTGGAGCTCTTCTCGGGCACTGGAGGTCTCAGTCGGGCGCTTGTATCTGCAGGCCTACGTGCGGGCTTCTCGTTCGACATCCGTAAGGGCGCTCAGTATGATCTATCTCGTCGAGCTACTCAGTTATTGTTTCTGAAGTGGTTGCGATCTGGAAGAGTCTGGGGAGTTCATTTGGGTACACCTTGTAGTTCCTGGAGCATAGCCAGAAAGGGCGTGAAAGACCCCAAGCGTGCTCGAGCTACGGAACGGTTGGGGGGGAGTTTGCGTTGTTCACGAGCGAGGTGGTCCGTACTTGTCAGAGGTGCAACGTCCTGTGGTCCATCGAGAATCCTGCGTCGTCGGGGTTGTGGTGCTTCCCTCCGGTCGGGGGCCTGGCTGGGCTGGCCGGGGCTCGCTGGGTGAAGTTCCCGACGTGCGCCTACGGGGTCCCGCACCAGAAGTGGACGGCGCTGCTGACCAACTCGCCCACGCTGGCATCGCTGGCGGCGGAGTGCACACACACCTCCCATCCTCACCTCTCGGGACGAGTCTAGGTTGCAGATGATCGGGGAAAAATCAGATGGGCTCGCCTGACGGAGCTGGCGGGCGCATATCCGTCGGCTCTCTGCTCGAGCTGGGCTGCGTGCCTGGCCAAGGCGGCCCCCACCACGGCCTTCGGTGCCTCTCCGCCGTCTGTGGAGGCATGGGCCGGCGAGCTGGAGGCCCTGGTGCCGCGGCGGCTTCGCGGCGCCGCTGAGGGCGATGCTCGGCCGGCTGACACGACAGCGGGCGGCGACGCGAGCTGTGCCCGGGCCGACCGCTACCTCGCGGAGCGCGGTGTCCTTTTCGGGAACACCAGCGCGGTCGAGCGGGCGGCCCTCCGTGCTCGCGGAGACGCTCTCGACCCGCCGAGCTGGTAGCAGCCGGGCGCCGGCCGCCCGACGACGGCACACGCCTGTCGCCAAGGCCGCCGCCCGGGCCCGCCACGCGGCCGCCGCCGGCCGCTCGCGGGCAGACTACCTCAAGCTGAAGGGCGTGTCGGAGGCGACCCTCGCACTGTACAGGAAAGGAGTTGATGAGTTTGAATCTTGGTGCCGACTGAACGGGCGCCAGGACAACAATTTGGTCAATGTTGATGCCAACCTCGTCGGCTGGATGACGGAGCTGCACTTCGCTGGCACGGGGCCAGCAACTGGCCGCAACGGGCTCTTCGGGTACATGCTGCTGCGCGGGGACAACCACGAGTCTGGGGTCGGCCAGGCGCGGCTCCCACGAGCCCGTCGGCAGCTCAAGGGCTGGTGCAAGAGCGACCCAGGGGCTGTTGGCATGCCCTACCCGCTCTCCGTGCGCTGGCAGCTCGCGCAGGCCTTCCTTGCCGACGGCGAGCCGAGGTTGGCGGCGCTCGCGGTGATCCAGACGGACTGCTACCTCCGGCCCTCGGAGGCGCTGGCGCTCAGGCCCGAGGACGCGCTGGTCGGCTGCGCCGACGCCGGGGCCGAGCACGCCGGCAAAGTCGCGCTCCACCTCGCCCCGGGCGACCGCGGGCGGCCGACCAAGACAGGCATCTTCGACGACGCCGTAGAGGTCGGCGTGGCCGGACAAGGCTGGGTCAAGGACGTGGCCGCTACGCTGGCCCGATGCATTGAGCCCAGCTGCCGTCATTTTCCCTTCACCCTGTCTCAGTATGAAAAGAGTTTCGGCCGCGTCCTGACACGCCTCGGCCTCTCTCCTTTGGGCGGATCGCCCCACTGGCTGCGTCACTCAGGCCCTTCCAACGATCGTTTCAATAAGGCCCTGGACCTCCGTGCCATTCAGAAGAGAGGCCGCTGGGCGGCCTTCAGATCTGTCACCAGATACGAGAAGTCAGCTGACCTGCTCAAACAGTTGTCCAAGTTGAACCGAGGTCAGCAGCAGAGCGCGAAGCGTGCGGCCTCCTCGTTACCTCAGGCCCTCGCGCACTCGCTCCGCCAGTGGCGGAAGCCAGCGTCTTGCAAATTTGTTCCAGCAGCCGCTGCTCCAAGACCCAAAAGGGGTTTCGGGGGCACGGGCGAGTGATCTTGCACCGTTGGCGCTCGAAGCGCCTCTTGAGTTCCAGAGTTTGCGAGGCGTGCGGATCGATCCAGCTGCATCCTTGACCTTTGAAGTCAGCGTCGCAGAGAGAGTCACTGTCGGCCGCGAGGCGGCCGCTCTTCTTGCATGAGAAAAAGAGAAGGCCCAGGGCTTTGGTTAAGCGGCTTCAGAGGGCCCCAGAATTGTAATATTTAAGATGTGTGCTCTTGGCCCTCGTTCTCAACGTACCGTCTTTGTTCACAGCACCGATGCGACCGTATCTGTTCTGGCTCAAGCTTCTCCTACCTTCGTCCCCATCCACCTCCCTCATAATATTCTCTGGGTGAGTGATCTCGCACCGTTGGCGCTCGAAGCGCCTCTTGAGTCCCAGAATTTGCGAGGCGCGCGGATCGATCAAGCTGCATCCTTGACCTTTGAAGTCAGCGTCGCAGAGACAGTCACTGTCGGCCGCGAGGCGGCCGCTCTTCTTGCATGAGAAAAAGAGACGGCCCAGGGCTTTGGTTAAGCGGCTTCAGAGGGCCCCAGAATATTTGTTTTCATGTACCCAGGTCGTGAGGATGTCTCGAGCGAAACGCTTGGTTTCACGCGTCCAGGTTACTCAGGCAGATGTCTAGCATGAGGAGTTGTTGAGGATGTCTCGAGCGAAACGTTTATTGTCACGCGTCCAGGTTGCCCAGGCAGATGTCTAGCATGAGGATTTGTTGAGGAGATCTCGAGCGAGACGCTTCGTTTCACGTGTCCAGGTCGCCCAGGCTAATGTATAGCATGAGGATGTGTTGAGAACGTCTCAAGCGAAACGCTTGTTTTCACTTGCCCAGGTCGCCCAAGCGGAGTCTAACATGAGAATGTGTTGAGGATGTCTCGAGCGAGAGGTTTGCTTTCACGTGTTCCGGTCGCCCAGGCGGATGTCTAACATGAGGAGTTGTTGAGGATGTCTCGAGCGAAACGTTTATTGTCACGCGTCCAGGTTGCCCAGGCAGATGTCTAGCATGAGGAAATGATGAGAACGTATCCAGCGAGACGCTTGGTTTTCACGTGCCCAATTCGCCCAGGCGGATATCTAACATGAGGATGTGTTGAGGATATATCGAGCGAGACACTTCGTTTCACGTGTCCAGGGCGCCCAGGCGGATGTCTATGTGTTGAGGATGTCTCGAGCGAAACGCTTGTCGCAGTAGAGTGCATCGCAGTCCAACCCCGCCCGTTCGTGAGGCGTCCCCTGGCGCGCTGGCGCGTCCCCTCGCGCGTCCCGGCCCTTGCGACGTTCTGGCGTGACGTGCCTTGGCACGCCCCCTAGCACGCCACTCGTCGTGGCACGTTCCTTGGCCCGTCCTCTGTCGCGTTTCCTGGCTCGTCCCCAGGCGTTTCCCCTTCCCGTTCCGTAGCGCGCCCCTTGCAATGGCCGTCCCATGGCACGCGCCTTGGCACGTCCCGTGGCAGGTCCCTGACACGTTCAGGGCACGTCCCTATGATACGTCCCCTGACACGACCTCTGGCGCATCCCCGATTGCGCCCTGGCACATCCTGTGGCGCGTACGTGAGCCTGTGCCCCGTGTCGTGTCGTTCCTTTTCGGAGCTGAGTCGGAGTGTGAGGTCGAGTTGATTGGAACGTCCCGCACGCTTCCACTTCAACTAGCTCTGGGGCAGCTACTATATGCTCAAGCAGCTCGAGCTTCAGATCCAGATCCGTTCGGTCAGGACTAGGATGCAAAGGAGGACTCGATCCACAACGCTATAGAGCACAATCGCGGCGTGGCACATCGCAATCCAGCACGGCGCAGCACAGCACAGCTTTTGGCACGGTACATCAAGATCGATACACTCAGCATTGCAATCGCCCGTCGTCCAATCAGGTGTCTTGAAAACGTTGCAATGCCTCACATTTCTATATTACTTTCTGGGTTCGTGGGTCGATCATGTTTGGGCGGAGGGCTTAAAATGTCGGTTCGGGTTCCCCCTCGAGTTCCTCTCTTGGGGCCGTTTTGGGGGCCTCTTGGGCCGTCTTGAGATTTTCTTGGGCCGTCTGGGGGCCCTCTTCGGGGCCTCTTGGATTGTCTTGGTGCGAGAACTGGAGGCATCATGGGCCGTCTCGCAATGGCGAAAGCCAGACAAGGCGAGAACGCTAAAAGCCGTCGGAAACTTCAGAACTGTCAATGACCTTAGCTTCTCGGGTGCCTCTTGGAGCACTGTTGGGACGTCTTGGAGGCCATCTTTGGCGCATTGGAGCAACATTCGGACGACTCGGGGCGCCGGTGGACCTTTCGGGGCCCTCTTGGTCATCCTTGCATCTATCATCAGAGTGAGGGAACCAAACGGTCATTCACTGTCCCTGGGTGCGTGGCTGAAGTGCGGATCCGTGGCGAGGATTCTGCTTGTTGTTGTTGTCGTCGTCCCCCCCGCGACCCGGCCCGCGACCCACCCGCGACCCACCTCGCGACCCACCACCCCGCGACCCACCCGCGACCCACCCGCGACCCACCCCGCGACCCGCTCGCGACCCACCCGCGACCCACCCGCGACCCACCCGCGACTCGGCCCGCGACCCACCCGCGACCCACCCGCGACCCACCCGCGACCCAACCCGTGACGACCCACCTACATTGTTTTAGCGAAAATAAATCGGCGCCTGCGGCGGGCTCGTTTTATAGCTTGAAAAAATGGTGCGCCTGCGGCGAGCTTCTTTAAAGCCTCGCA